ACAAGTCGCCACTCCATCGACCCTCACACTCACTCTTCTGGATACATGCGAGTTTTTTTTATGCAAAGTGGAAACCCTTTTGTAGGGAGAGAATAGTACAAACCACCACGACACCAAGCAGCTCTGAAAGGGGCAGCTCTTTTTGCCAGCAATAGAAAATCGGGATTGGACTGTGTTTGCCGTGCTGGCATGTGCAGAGGGGTTGGAGGAGACTTCCATGAAAAGGCAAGTCGTCTTCAGAGAACCGTCTTATTATTGTCAGCTGTGGTGATGATGGACGATGGAGAATGAGTGAGGGGAAAATGGAGTTGGAGAGAAGCCTGTTTTGTGGGACCTACTGTGCTGTGTGAATCTGACATTTTTTTGCTTTGGTGCCAGAATTTCCACAGCTTTGAATTAATCAGATACCATATATTTGCTGCCTACATGACGGAATATATATATTCAAAAATGTGTATATATATAAGGTGGTTCAGAGTGATCATGTTGAGATTAAAGATAGAAAAAATAGAATTCATCTTTTTCAGGGCAAGTGGTAATGTGCATTTCCACAGTGTATATTAGATTGTAACAACGGCTCCCAGCTGTGAATCTGAAAATGTGTTCGAGTCTGTATAAAATCAGCATGCTGCTGTCAGAGAAGACAACAGCATGTTTAGATCTGGGGTTTGTCTCTTTGTGACACCACCACTACTGTCTTTCTCTGCTGCTCCTGTGCTGTAGCCCTAACCTTAACTCTGCCAACACAATACTTAAAGACAGCACTTTGGAGCCACTTAAACCAAGTGCTCACATTAAATATCTTTCAATTGACTATTCGTACGCCACTTTGTTTCACTCATCACACTTAGAATGTACTGCTCACTGTGTGCCAGGGTCTATTCTCAGTAGGCCTCCTGTTCAAAATATTAGGATCTAACACTGTATCCACAGTATTCACAAAAAAACTTGAAGCAGCTCTCCACATGCCCGCTTCTTGAATATTCAAACTACATGTGGTAGTTTTTTCATGTAAGAACCCCCTAAGCAAAATAAAACTGTTTACCCTGAGCCTCAGTGTTTAGGAATGTGTCTGGTAACTACGGCTAATATACGATTTTGGTATTTTACCTCGTGTAGAGAAGTGTATGAAAAGATGAGAAGAGCAGATACAATGACTAAATAATTGTACCTGAAAAAGTTTTTCTCCTCAGTAAACACTGAAACAATAAAGTTCTAGGAATAAAAGTTAGATGTGTAGGTTACAAGTTGCAGAAAAAATAAAATGCAATGGCACCATGGTATTTGCAGCCTGTTTGTGGATCCCTCAAGTGGATAAAAATCAATCAATGCATGCTTAAAAATGATGTTTTTTAAATTATTATTATTAATATTTTTGTTTTTGGTCAGTCTATGTGCTTTGTTTTGTTTTTTATCAAACGTTTTGCACAAGACCAAACCTGTTGGAATATCATTTAATAGAGTCCATCTAACTTAAGTTTTCACAAGTTTTAAACAGATAAAGTGTGTGGCCCTTTGACCCCTTCACTCCAAATAAGACATTGGTGGACATACATTGTATCAGAATTAATTTGACAAAGGGTGAACAATCCCACACCGAGCATCTTTACCACATTGTCTTTGTGTTTCAGACCGTCTGCCTTTGCTGAGACCCAACTTTCTTCTGAACCCATTTTCATTTCCCCACGACCAACCGACCAGATCCCCAAGAACTCCGAACTCTGAGAGAGAAAAAAGCTGCTAACTGTATTTTCTTTTTCATATTATCTCAAAAGTCACAACCTGCTTTTTAAGGGAATTCTGGATTTCCTGTTCAATCACTCTTTGAGCACCTGGCCGGTCAGCTTTTCTTAATGTGATATATATTGCCCCAAAAAAAAGCATTATTAAGCAGTAAATTCAATAGAACCAACGTGTGGAGCTGCTGACTCTGCAGAGAGCTGCAGCACAGGAGCTCAATTTAAAATCTTTGACCTCGAGGAAGCTAGTAATTGAAGCATATAGACCAATAGGAAGTGTGGCACCTGCCCAGATGGAAATCTTTATTTTTATTTATTTCATTTCAGCTGAGCCAAGAAAGAAATAATCATCACCTGACTGGGGTTTAAAATTAGCATCCACATTTGTTCACTCTGCTCAAATCCTTTTTAATCTTCCCAGCCTTGGAGAAAATCGTTGGTGGCGTATTTGAAGGAGAGTGAAAGAAACAGAGCTATTTAACGTCATGAGTCATCTGCTGCAACGCCGATTCCCAAACAAAAAAGGTCCAGTTGGTACCCCAATAACCCGTCAAAAATTATTCAAATCCATTACAAGAATCTTTAACCCCTAAATGCAGGTGATGGCCTCGCTTTTGAATAGAACTCGAGTTTGCCATGCAATGCATAAATTTGAATTTTCCCCTCAAAACAGATGACTGCACCTCCACCCACGCACAGCAGGACTTCAAGAGCAAAGGGGGTAAAATAAACCTTTTTTCAAATTCATGGGCACTCACAACTCTTCCCCACCTCTGCCTGACGGCATTTCCCAGTTGGCAAACCGGCATAAGGTTCCAAAACATTTCAGAAGTGTGGTGTTGTCTGAGCTGCTTAATTACATACAACAGCTACATCTGTTTGGCAGCCAGATGGACAGTGAGAAACAGCTCCGATCCTCCTGTCCAGACACATCAATCCCGAATGTGTGCGAGAGGGACAGAAGCATTCCTCTTTATGCAGCGGCGGGGTGATGAATGTCAGGAAAACTCTGATGCCATGTCGGGACAGCCGAGGTGTTTGGTCTACCTTTCAAACAGACCGAACCGACAGCAAATAAATGGTGGATGTCATAAAGGAGGTTTTGTGTGCGCTAAGTTTCCCGTCGCCACGGTTCAATGCCTGGATGCAGCTTATTTCATTTTTAGTGCTAACAGAGTGCGAAGATGGCTGGTGGCAAAGAACTCTCACATTTCTATTTTACTACAAGACTAAACAAGACTTGCTTTAAAAAAAAATACAAGAGCTATTTTCCTTGCCTTGATTAAACACTGTGACTTCAGTGATGCATATTTTTCTATTGGCACCAACTTTTGGTCCAACATACTATTGTATCAGCAGGGGAGTTTTCATAAGTAATAAAAACATTGCATCAATCTACAAAGATGGCTGTTTTGCTTGCTGATAACATCACAAGTAGTTATAATGGATTTCCTGTTTGTGGCTTTGGGGATCAATTAGTCCAAAACTTTTACGATACCATCAGATTAGGATACATTTAGTTTTTAGAGGGGGGTGTGTTTTTTAAATCATATCGCTTGCCTATCTAACAGTGAAAGATTTATTAGAGGAAAACACATCATGATTTAATTTTGTGCCCCCCCCCCCAAAAAAGGGAAACAGACAACAAAAAAGAGAGAAGAAAGCAGAAACGTATATATTGCATACTCTGTGCCTAAAGCTACAAAGTTACAGCCTTCTCTGTACGATGTCTATTTTTTTAATATAGCTGAGGTGATTGGCTAGAGTTGCGTCAATATTCTGGCAGCTGTATTGTGCAAAAATAGTTTTATCTGATGATGTGCTTGAAAAAGGCAAAATAAAATAAAAATAGGTTATAGCTTTCAGCAAACAGCGCTCGACTTATAATTGCAATTGACAGAGAAAATGATTTCTTATTGCATCCAAAAGTTCCTATCTTTCCCTTCAGTTCCTTGGGTTGTTGTTTGTAAATCTGCCACTGGGAGGCGTCTAAGATGTGTCCCAACTTATCCTCAGGCATCAGAGTTGGGATATCTACTGGATATCATGGTAAGGAAAATAAACCAAAAATATCTCCGTTTGAAAAATATAGTAAGACTGAGTCATGTGCATGGGGTGAATTTACTTTTAAATGAGAAATGCATTAATCACCACAGAGAACGAGGGGCTTTCTAATGACTCTTGTCTAATGTGCTGCAGCTAATGAAATAGCCAGAGAAGAATCAATTCATCCCCGGCTCCCTAAACTACTCCAAATATTTTTCATGGAGCGTGATGTTGCCACCCGTTAATGGACTAAAAAGAGAACGTTTCTAATTAAGAGTTAAACACAAAGCTGTCTTGGATTATTTATGACAACATAAGAAAATGGCTATATATATATATATATATAGGCCCATAGACGCATGATATAATTAGTTTTTGGCTGAATTCAGGGTGTTTACTTCCCTTAGAGAGAAAAAAGTTTCTCTCCAGGGGAGGTAGAAATACCCCCCCCACACACACACACATACACACACCTATTTCAATGAGAGCTGCTGTGAGGATTTCAAGATTATGTGCCTTTAAGAAGCTGCGTCCATACTCTTAATTCGACAGCTTCTCTCATACTGCTGTCAAACAGATGATTCAGCTCTGGTCCTTTAAGGCCCAGCCAGATGCACCGTCTGTCTTTTACTGCTATTTTTAGCTGAGCCCAATAGCTGAGTAGCTTAATTTGGTAGCTTTCATAAATGCTTATCTAAAAAAAATCACCCTGAACTTCAATTAATACTTGCTTGTAGCTTTTTTAGAGCAGTCAGAATATTCTGTTTAGTGTGGTGGCATTTCTTCTGGAGTACCTTGAAATTATTGCTTGAGAAATTTAAAGGTAACCAAAAAGGCTGTACAAATTTGTCAAGTCTTAGCCAAATAAAACAATATGTATGCAGGCATTTTTTTTAATCATGTGTTCATTGTAATTAGATTATGGCTAAAAGACTGCCAGGAAATTATTCCTGTAAGTTAATGATTCACATGTTGTTAACTTATAGCTTCCAGTGCCTGAATATTCAAAAACGTTCTAATGAACCTGCCATTGTTTGCTCTGATTACTTCCTTCCTGACTGGAGGCTATGCTGAAGCAGCTGAGCTAGGCCTGAATGTGTTGCAAAGAATTACCCGGAAAAAGGAGGAAACAGCAGCATGAGTACGAAAAATGGACAAGCTGACATGAAAGTGACGGAGAGAAGGTAAAAAAAACCAAGACACAACTTTTTTTTTCCTATTAAAGGACTATTTATGTTCATATTTATGCATGGTAGATGAAGTTTGAAGTGCGTTCACAGATTTTTAGTTTTGTCATTTTTCAAATACCACATAATGCAGTCATTTGCTTAAAACAGCAGCATCAAGTATATAAAAAAAGCAGAATTCTGCAACAAATTCTGTACATTTAATCAAAAACGTTGTGCCGACCAAATAGAAAGTCTCTGTAATAATAAATCCATTACTTGTAAAAAAGAATAATTTTACACATAAAATACAAAAATACAAAATTAGGAATATTAGTGCAGTAGTAACGAGTATCATCAACAACATACATTAAAATCACATTTGTAAAATCATTATAAGGCATTACAGATACAGTCGTAATGTGTCTATGCGTCCCATAACAACAAAGACGACTTCGTCAACATTAAAGTAATTAACAAACACGTCAGTTTCCAATAAGGGCTTGTCAAAGTAAAAACTCCTGAGTGAAAGGGTCAGAGCATCTACGCCTGCAGGAATGTGATGTGGGTTTTTCTATTCCGCCTCCTGCGCCGACTTTTCACTGTGTCTTTGTATTTTTTTCCCCCTGGAACAAACAACAAAAATTGGTTAGCACAGCCATCAAGTCGAAAAATGCTGACTTTTGACATCAGGATTAAGGAAACAGGAGATTCCGCCCTTATCACTCATGAAATAATCAGCTATACTTTTTGGATGTCATGCAAAAAGGGGTGTCCTCGCGTGCCAAACATTTTTTCAAAACTCTATCAGGGACACAATCTGTGAGCATTTTGGTCTTTTCCCAGTTCTCCTCGGGGCTTGGCGCGAACACACACCTTTGACACAAACGTCCATGCAGCTCTGCCGCGAGACGAAGTTGTTGCTGCTCCCTCCACAGCCTGAATACACAAACTCCTCACACATCTTGGTGGCTGTGTTGAAGTAATAGCGGGTGATCGAGGCTGAACACTTCCCTTTGTCCAGAGGGTCCAGACAGAGGATAGGAACAGCTGTGGGAGACAGAACATGAGAATTAAAGCACCGGTCAGAAACAAGCATTCAGGACTGAAACCGTCTTAATCTGTTGTTCTTTCTAAAAAGTTTCTGCTCACTTTTCTTTGGACTGCAGTACTCCATGCAGTTGGTGAGGTCCTGGAAGCGGTTGGAGTTCCCCCCGCAGCCCCCGTAGTAAAAGGGCTCACACTGCATGGTGGTCATGTTGAAATAGAAGCGGGGGATGAGGGCACGGCGGTGTCCCTCCAGTTTAGGAAACCGGCAGATTTGGGGAATCTCTGTAAAAAAAAAAATTTAAAGTGAGTCCATGCAGAGACTCAGATTCCACAACCAAAATGGACCTCTGTTAATCTTCAGCAAGCTGTAAAAAAAAAAAAAAAAAAATAGCACAACCACACCCATCCATGCATGCATTAGCTTTTGGGGTGGAAAAGTCAGTTAAACCAATAATATACGCATGCTCATCGCTATTAGGTTGAAGACTTACTTGGGATTCTGAAACATGTCTTCTGGCACTCGAGGTAACTCTCAAAGTTATTGGCATTACCCAGGCAGCCACCATAATAGAAAATCTCGCACTTCTGGGTGATTGTGTTGTAGTAAAAGCGCTGGATATTTGCCCTGCAAGGTCCCTCATCCATTTGAAGAAGACACACGCCATCTGACGAAGGAGCAGAAAGGAGGATATCGTTACAGAAACATTGCAAACTTAACTAAGTGTTACACCCGATGTCTTGTGATGGTCCACATGTTAATAGTTAGTGGAATTAAAGAAGCGCATGGAGCGATTTCTTGCAAACATGCACGGTTTACCTTTGCGGGAGAACGCCAAAACGCTGGAAAAAGAGGCGCAAAACGCAACAAATGCTACTAAACCAAACTCCATTGTGTGGGTTTTGATCTGTTCCAAGTCTTACTCGCTCTGTCCCGTGCAGACCATCCCAGCCGGTTCCAGCTTTATAGCGGAGTTTCTCTGGGGAAATTCAGGGGCGGGGATATGATGAGTCATTTCCATTCAAGCGACGATTTTGATTAAAGCAGTGATGAATTCATAAGTGACATCAGTCGTGCGTTTTTACGTTGTAACATGTGCGTACGGGGTTGTCAGAATGTTGTGACTAATAGTGATTCCAACTAACTAAAACAACACCAGTAATTTCTCTCTGCATGAGTGGAGCCTAACTTCTCACAGGCCAGTGATGATAGGGAGGATGATGATGGTGAGAGACCCATTAACCGGTCAGTCACAAATTTTACATGAAGGGATTCTTGTGCAAGTTCAACTAATATAGTCTGAGCCACACTTCAGTTCCCACCGCCACCCATCTGACTGGATCTGTCCCTACACTGTGTCTCTCAGTGGAAGCCAGGTCTTATCATTTGTTTTGCTTGGCGATAGCAATATGTCATGGAAATGTTGCCCTACACGTTCAACGTCTCCATTCCTTAGACCAGACGGCAGCCCTATCTGAAGGCTGGAGGGGAAAAATGCTCAACAGAAACTGAGCTTTGTATTCCGCACCATGGCTTTGTTCCCACTACTGTCATGTTCCGGCCAGTGACGTGTCCCCATCCTGACAGGTAGAGGCTAAATACAGATTAGCCGTCTTATCAAAATGACCTGATACACAAAGCAAGCTAAATGAACATATTTCTCTGTAAGCAAGAGTCAAAGTCGCACAAATCCATATTAAAACTGTAATATACAGTAAATGAAAGGTGGTTGAATGGTTTAAACTGAACCAGCAGAAACAACTGTTGGACATTGTCCTTTGATAGTACGCCTGAGCTACTGGTATCATCATTCACTGGGGCCTTGTTTTAATCAGATAATCAGATTAGAATTGTTTGTGCAGATTACTTTATAACCCAGATTTAGGGAGAGGAGAGGGATTCTTCAGCCGGATTTTGGCGGTGAAGGACTGCTGCCTGTGAGCATTCGTAAGTACATTTATTTTCCCCTCAATTTGGTTCACTGAAATAAAGTAATTTATCTCTGTAGTGGCCTTCAAGAAGAAAAGTGTTAAATGTTCCCTTTCCATTGACAGAGAATGCCGGTCATCGATGTGGAGAATCTGACGGACAAGGACAAGGCTGTTATGGAAGTAAACCAACTTAAAATAGAAGTAAAACTTGAGCGATGGGTGGTAAGTTTTTTTTTATAATAAGAGACTGAATTCTTCTCCTCTATATTTCTGAAAGATACAAAGTAATCAGTTACATAATCAAAATGTTCTGCAGAATGGCGTGAAGGTTATGATTTCAACATATCTCCCTGATTATTTCAGACATCAAAATGCTGTGAGGAAATCAAGGAGTACATTCAGGCTGGAGAGGAGGAGGACACCCTTGTCAAAGGCATTTCAGAGGAGAAGAACCCCTTCAAAGAGAAAGGTGGCTGTGTCATCTGCTAGAATGGACCTGAGGAGCTTTTCGTATTTCAGATTAGCACCCAAGGACATTCTCCCCTCCCCTTGCAAAATGGATTTGCAGACTGAGATGACTAGAAGGACACAATAAAGATGAAGCTACAAAACTGCACAAGCTCCCATGTAAATTATTCCTAATAATCTGGCCAGATTTGTAGCCTAACAAATACAAGTTTTGTTTGGCAAGAGTTTTATTAATGCTTCTCTCTCATGTGGTGTAAATAGCGAGTAAATGGGCCTGTGTGTTGTTTCATACACTGAAACAAATGTCATTAAATATGCATGTTTATCACTCAGCCTGTCTCCATGAGTTCCTAATTGGTTTTAGACAAGATAAAGGGACAGATTATCTTAATAATTCATTTCACATACATTTTATTATATTGCAATCATTATTTTGTAGCACGCATCCTGAGTAACATTAAACCTAAGTGGATCATCTTTAACTAATGGGGTGTGTGCAAGTGTGAATGATTGTCCTGCTTTTGTTTTTTCCCATTCTTCTTTCTTCATTGTATGTATTATCAAACTTCATGTGAATAATTGGGACATTATTGGACAGGAATACATGCAGTAATTCTACAAAATAATTGAAACTTTCACCAAAGTAAATTTCTTCCTGCAGATTTAGAAATTCATAGGAACGAGCTAAATGTTAAAACTGTGCATTTAAATATGTCTTACACTGCAATTCCCTCAGCTTCATTTAGGCTTTCTTCCAAGCTTTCAGTTCAGAACGTAAGTGATGGTGTAATAGGAGTGGTAGCAGAGTATTTTTCCTGTGTATTACACATCTCTCTTAATGATTGAACTTGAAGAGAAGCCCAACCTCGGAAATAAAAAGTCGCCTTTTAGAACCCTCGGCTGCCCTGAGTGCGGCCACCGCGTGCGCATGCGCGCCTCCCCACACACACATACACACTTACACATACGTTGCCGGCGACAGATATGGCGCTGCGCGAGGGAACCTATCGCTTAAAACTGCTCGCCAGCAGTCGCAACGTCTACAAATTCGCCTCGTTTGTCGGCGTGCGCTCCCTGACCGAAAACGCTTCGTCTAAACCTGTAACAAGCAGCCCCCCAGAGACCGCGGCCGACCATTTACTGTACACCCGAGAGCACTTTGCACTGAAGGAGGCCCTCAGAAAGGTACGCAGGACCGCCACCACTGACAGGGGACTTTTCTTGGGTACCAAACAATGGCGAGAAAAGCTTTCGGTTGTGCTATTTTGTGTTTCACAGTAGGGTCTTTGGTTGACGTTGTGCGTCGAGTTCCCGCTTAATTCACCCCGAAGGAAAACAATGTCGGAGCGGTCAAGTAAAAGTAGGTGAGGGGTCAAACAAATAAGAGACGGCTGCTGTATGTCTGCCCGTCTCTTATTTAAACCAACCGAAAGAAGATGAGCTTTTTCACGCCTCCACGGCTGCAGTTAGACGGTGGTGTTTATACATGGAGGCTCTAATGATGGGCTGGATGTGGGTAAGGCCAACACACAGGGCTGTGGAGGGTTTAGGGAGCCTGGCCTGTGTGTTTTCATGACCCACTTCCGCATCCCACGTGTCAGGCAGCTGTTTCTCAGAGGCTTGGAGCATCTGTCCTCTCCCTCTTTAATGGCGAGGCTTCATCTTCCCAAAAGTTTGATGTTTTTAACATATTTAGCAGCCTGTAGTGTGATGACGTGTGCGTGTAATGATCAGGGAGCTGCTGTCAGACTATGATCAACAGGAGTCAAAGTAAGAACTGTAGTGAGTACACCTTTTTATTTGTGCCCAGATTTACCATGATGTTATAATACGGACGCAAAAGGTATCAGGTATCATGTTTCTCAAACTGAGTCATCACACAAAAAAATGTGCAATCGATGTTGGTATTGCGAAATTGTTGTACTCATCTTTAGGCCTTCTCTCTTTTGTAAAGATAATAAAAAAAGGTAACATCACGAGACATGATTCACGCACGAGAAAGTTTCCGATACCGACTTGGTTGCCAATTTTATGACTTAATCAAAGAGGCATCGATTGCGGCTGAACTACTGCGATGGCCTTGAGATCCAGAGGTAACCTCCGAGGTCATTGTAGTTCAGACTAAACGGATTTAGTCTTTGTTTGTTTCCAGCAAACATTTGGACCTGAATCACATCCTGCATCTACCTTACCTCGGGCACATTTATTTTTAGATGCAGAGCTGTCATTCATCCTCTGGCTGTTAAAGCTGGTGAGTGATTCAATGTCCAGGTGAGAGTCTGATTCCTACACTTTTATAGACACTGCGACTATTGAGGAATTTCAAATTTCCTTTAAAATAACTTGAAAAAATATTCTGTCCCACAAAAAGTATATATATATATATATATATATTTTTTTAATATATTGATTCGACAAGGATGATTCATTTTTTGCCAAATGGACTTCTGAATTATAAGTAAGCTTCATTAAAAGGTTTTAGGTGATAAATGATTTAATTGATTTTCATGTCTTATTTTGTTCTCGACCTACAGTACATTTTTAGAAAAATATTCAATTTTTCCTAACTTATTTTCACTTAATTTTACTGCATTTTCCCCTTTTTTTCAACATCCATCAAGTGTTTTCTGATATAAGAAGTGTAATTTACATTGATCTTCCATAAAACTCTAAACACCCTCTTAAAAAGGTGTAAGCCCTCCTTATTCTGCTAAAAGATCTGAGTACGGTGTGGACATAATTGTGTAGATAGGTCGCAAATATCTAAGTGATTTCCATCTCAATTCCAGGATGCAGGCTTTCCCAGCAGGACACTATTGTTACCAGATGAGATGTGTTATTCACTCTTACCTGACAGTAGTTCTAATACTATGGTTGACTGATATATATTCTGGCAAACAATGAAAACAGCATGACTCATTATGGATTTATATTACTAGACAGTAGAAACAGAGGATGGAAAAATAACACCAAGAGCTTAAAGAATTCAGCAACAAAAATGTAAATGGAGGGAAGCTTGTTGGGTGATTAAACTTTTTAAAAGAATGCCAGGAGGTTGAAAATAAACCAGCACTGGGACTATTGGGAAGGATGGAAATGTGAAAAGGAAACGCAGAACAATAAGATGGCGGTGCAGGAAGGGGAACTCGAGGCAGAATGGTTTATTAAAAGAATACACAGCACTATGCATTTATTGGTGATACACACGTCTAATTATGGGAAATCCCTCAGTCACAACTCAAGGTTTAAATCCCAGAAAGGAAACGTTTCCATTGCTAATTTTATTTGGCTGGCTTTCGTGTATCTCTGAATACACACAAACTGGCTAACTGGAATGAGCCAGTCACATGCAGCCTCACTGGGTCTCAGCCTGGGATTTCGGGCTGCACAGTAAAGGCCTCATAGACAGAAATACCTCAGATATTAATTTAGAAGAACTCTGAGGGGCAGATTACATATTCATGTCTTGGCGCTTTTCAATAGATGATATTATTCAGTCATGATAAAATTAAAACTGAACATTTTTCTAGCAGTTTGTCAGCCCCAGATGTTCCTTGTTTCTTCATATAGAGTCAGAGATTGATTTAAAGGTTGAACAAATTACCAATGCCAAAACATATAACTTGTAAATAATATGTATTGTTTAGCACAATTTAGCTTGACATTATTGTGAGGCAAGCAGAGGTGGGATCATGACCAAAGGGACCATGATCAGGCTAGAAACAGATTATTATGAATATTTTATTTTTGCACAAAGCCTCTCGCGTAATGGAAGTATTCTTTTTTTCTTTAGAAGCAAACTATTTGTAACTTGATACATTTGCTCTTAGAAGAAACTATCTTTATGGATATGGAGTGTGAAGATTCCCCGTCTTCAAAAATGTATTTTCATGCTCCAAAGTGGGCAGAAGCTGAATATGGTAACAGGTCCCTGGCAGGAAAAACTTGTGGAGGAGTTTATGTCTTGGCTCGACCATTTCTGTGTTGCCATGAGGCTTTTGCTGTGAGGTTCTTCAGAGGGCAGCGACTAGATCCTTAAACCAGCTGGAACTGTGGTGTCGCTTCTTTCGTTGTGTTTCCAAAATAGTTCAGCTCTTGTTCATAGCAGCCAAAGCGTTTCCATATGATGACCACAGTCAGAACTGTTGTGGCTGCTACGGATCAGAGAGAGACAGTTTTTATGTGACGGTTTTGTGTTAACTAGAGAACTTGATTCAAACTGTACTGTTTGTAATATCTTGCCCAGGAAAACAGTACCAACTCTCTAGACTGAATATTTTGAAATACTGGATAAACCAATGTTTTTGACCTTGTCTTACTGCTGTGCTGTTTAGCACAAAAAGTGCAGAATAACCATCGTGAGGACACGTAGGATTACTCCCATATGACTTTTATGTTTCCCCTTCCAGCAACTCGTCGTTCCTCCCTGTTCCTCCCTTTTCCTCCTCAGGATCTGAACTTTAGCATGCTTTGCTGGTTTATGGGATACCTTCATGTTTTCCTCTTCTTCGGTGCTTTTTTCATAAGCGAGTCTTGATATGGGCCCAGGTATGTGGCCTGTGCTGTTAAAAGTTGTCCGTTTCCTGTTTTTATAAAAGATGGGGACCATGTTTTCTGTCCACCCTGTGTTCAGATGTTTCTTACAAAGAGCATTCTTTTGGTTGGTTTTGCTGGCTGGGATTTGCATGTTTTGGCAGGAGTAAGCTGCAGCAGATTTTTTGTTGTTGTAATCCTTGAGGAAACTTGTGAATTTCAGGGTTGATTTTACAGCTTTCATCAGAGCAACATGAAAGACATTGAAATGGGGTGGAGTTAGTTAGAATTTCTGTGCACAGCTCATTTAACTCAGTATTTGACAAAAATGGAAGCAGATTATTTCAGTTTCTTCACAATCCTTCATTTTTAACCCTGCTTTCATGAGCTTGCACACAATTTATCAGTTGACACAGCAGAGAAATGCAGTGGAGCAAAAGGTAACATCTCTGAAACTAAAACGCTTTATGCCTCAATGTCAAGAACAGATATGAAAATTGAATTTAAATGATCTATTGTCTCATTAATGTGTTGCATTGTAGTAATATACCCATACCGATGTTGATGTCTTTTGTACTAAATCTTTAAGTGGATAATATCTGTTGTTTGGTTGAGAATAGTGGACAGAATACAGCTTGATCTGTTAAAAGAATAAAAAGCTTCACATTTTAAGCAATAAAAAGTCAGAAAAAATGGGCGGATCATTTGTGCAGGCTGGAGATTTATAATTATTTTTTCAGCTGTGAACCACTTCCAGGTACTTAAAATGAGTCACAGCACAAAGCTTTACTCAAACCAAAGTCTTTTCCCAAACCAAGTTGTGACCCGGTTCCCAGTCACTGTGGACACATTTAATGTCGGGGTTAGTAATTCCTCTCATGGGTTTCATAAAGATCTGAGACGAAGCGGCCTAATTCTTGAGCTCTGTTGGGATGTGGTGACATCCTTTTTTTTTTTTTTAAAAAGGGCATTGATTGACTAGTTAACATCACTGGCCTCTTGTATCGGGTGTGTTTCTCTTTTCTTTTTTTCCCTTCCTGTTTAACTCAGGCATGTGCTTGGTCATCCCTCATTTTGTGGCTTATTGGAGGCATTGGCTGCTGAGCCACACGGAGTTTAATCAGTTTGGCTTCCAATACCGACGTTCAGTTTTCAAGCCTCTCTAAAATATGACTTCAGAGCTTACCGGTAACCTGCCAACAGCTAAATCACGAGAGAAAGACGGACTAAATGGGAATATTTTCTTTCTTAGGGACACTTATCAATTTACACGTTTCAGTGTTGGCCCTCGTAATACCTTCCCCATTGATACTGTGTACAATTGTTAAATAGCATGCCATCCAATCTATCACTGCATTCATCTCAGTTGTGGACTTAAAGCCAGCCTTCTTTCTTGCCATCCATCTGCTTGAGCTGGATTACACATACTTAACAATGGATGCACTCATCGCAGCAGGAAGCACATACAAGTATAAAGAAAAAGCAAAGCACATGCTTTCTCATTTGAGCTGTATGTCCTTTTTCCTCTTATTTGAAGGCAACACATAAAACATTATGCCTTTCAGTTGTTGTTAAATTCACATTTAAATAAAAAAAGGCAAAGATGTCAAGCATGTCAAAGCAGTAGCGTGCAAATGCGTGCACATTTTCACCGAGTTGTGCCGTTATAGTACGGTAACAGCTGCATGCACGGTGTAAATGGGTGCACACATACATGAGAATGTCTCTCTGTCATCTGTGTGCCGTAGCTCATCGACCAGGAGATCAACCCTCATGTGGAAAAGTGGGAAGCAGAAGGCATTTTTCCAGCCCACAAAATCTTCAAGATCCTCGGGAGTGCCGGCTTTCTAGGAGTCAACAAACCAGTTGGTGAGAGAAATTCATGATTGCCCTTTTTGGCTGAGTCATAGCTTGGAGAGAATCCGTGTGTTTACATGAGATGTGAAAAATGGAATCAGTAGTTCAACCTAAAGGGACATTTAAAACGAATGCATATCATTGGACATTTTGAGAATATCAGAGTGGGACTGATACACCCTTGTAGCCGCAAGGCAGTCGAAGTTGACAACTGGTAATAACAGAGTTGGAAGGGGCTATGTGTGTAAATGTAAGCCAATATTGTGGAAATTACAAATCTTGCTTATCCTGCAATGCTGACTCGGTGTTTATAAGCACACGATGAAGTCAGCCTGAGCCAGACTGAGCACAGACAGCATTTAGCTTTGTTGATATTATATGTATTTCCAACAAGCCGTGCATGCTGGGATATAGATGTAAAACATTTATTTGGCTTGTGACTCTTGTAAACTTAAAAAGATGAACAAAGGAAGAAAAATCATTGATAATTGCGGCCTAGAGGACAGATTTGCCTAAATTTAAATATGCCTGGACACAGCTTAACCATTTCTGCTTCAAAAAGTGCTCGGCTCAGATTCTTTGCAGTTGAACTCTTGTTCACAAATGTTCCTGCTGGGATGATGTGTGATGGTGTCACCGCATAATCCGACAGCCGTCTGCCACAATATACAATATATCACATTCCCACAGGGCCAAAATTTAGTTGTGGTTGTGATGCGTAAGCCATTCAGAGTATGTAAAGAGATTAGTGGGAAATGCTTGACAATCAGCAGCAGATGTGACGCTCCACTGTTATCTATATTCCCACGGCAACAGACTCATTTCTCTTAATTCGTTTGACAGCTCTTATCTGTTGTGTATATGTGATATAAATCTGTGGTTCATGCTTCAACCACAGCAACAACATTGGACGGTGAGCCACGCAGGTCCTGTGTACAGGATTCCACCACAAGTCTGTAGGTCAGACTAGAGGGAGGGCAAAGGAATTAAAATATGCTGAGTGCACAAGCACTAAGCATTAGTTGACAAGATTAGAAAGTAGGTTTGGCTCAGTGGTGGACTGGCTGAAAACACATTGTACGATCAGATAGATGATTAACTATCATGTAGAAATATGCTCAAGAAGCTTTTACATCACCAATGTATTGCCATGGCATGTGGAGACTCAACTTTTAAAGCATGTGCAAGTAATTCACTCTGGTAACTCCCACTGTAAACTGTCAATAACAATAGGAGGGAGAAAACTTCCCGCTGTTTTAGTATCTACTGGAGAACGTTTATTTCTGCTGCGGTGCTGCTGAACAGTGCCACAGATTTAAAAAGTGCCACACTGTTTGTTGATTTAGAGGCTTGGATTACAGGAGTGGGGATAGGGATTTAGGAGTCTGTTTGTCAAAATAATTCATCACATGGAATGAGATAAGTGGCTGTCCTTGGTCAGTAAAGGGGACAAAATATGGGAAAGAAAAGCAAAGTTATGTCAAACGGTAAACCAAAGAGAGTAAGTAACAATATATCTATAATCCTTTTTATTATTTACCCACAGGTCAGTAACATTAGTTGAATTATGTCTTGCTTTACGACACAGATTCCAGTTAAAATCAAGTCAATCCATTAGTGAGAATGACCTCCTTGTACTGTAGTTCTGTAACTACCAGAAACTCATTTGGATGATTCACATCTTTAACAGAGAATATAAAATAGACATGTGCTTTTGTGCTTTATTATAATCTGTCAGAACTCCTCTTTAGACAATAAAGACTTGAATTATTGTAAAATACTAAACTAGTAGGGACCAAACAGTTTCAAGACCAAACTTACATTTGCCCCGTTTGAAACTGCAGTAAAGTTAACGGGTCAGTTTACAACTTTTGGAGCCATTCAGTTAATCTACTTGTGCACAGTATAAACAACACTCAACCCTCAATGTTCCCACTCGTGATTACCTTCCAAAACACGAGAACAGGAAGTTTTCCAAGGACAGCTATGTCGAGGGAGAAGACGGAGATGACCCTTGGCTCCCTGCCTGCTTCCCTCTGCTCTGACAGGGAGGTATCGGCACATTAAACCACAAATGGTCTTCCCTCCTACTTGACAGATACGGCCTGGTATTATACACGTTTCCACTTGAGTATTTCTGGTGGCCATACTCAAACGGATATAAAAGGTGTACAATTAATTTCATTTGTATGTACAGGCTGCTTCCTTTTCATGCAGGTTCCACTACAATATTATTAGTTATTATTATTAATGCTAATGTGGAAAAAGCTTAGCTTTGGTGATGACCGTGAGCCATCTTCCTCTTCCTAACATCCACTCGAAATAAGTGTTTTTTTGTCATGAGCAGTGCAGTACAACACCACAATGTGTGTCTCTCATCGTGTGGTCCACATGCGTCTCACCTTTAAATTCCCACATTGTGTACCCTCCACTGTGCTTCATATGGCGCTCCACCCGATGAGAACCTATGGCGAGGAACATCTGCCACTCTGCAGAAACATGTGCACGGAGTTGACATTTGTGGCAGGATTCTGTTTGTTTTCCTTCTGCTTGCTTGCTTAAGCAGACAGCCTGCTGTTTTGTTTGAAATGGGATAAAACTCAGCGCTTCCCTCCGTTCACATTTGCCACCGCAGGGGTTTCCAGTGCTGGGAGACTTATCACTGCACAGCTGCACCTGTTTCCTCTTATTTTTGGCTCGGGCACTCCCTTGTCGGCTTGTCCCGCCAAATAAACCTTCCCCGTGTGTCCCAATATATTGTTGTCTATCTTTTTCATTCCCTCTCTTTGACACTCTGCCAGACTATGTGAAAACTTGTGTGCCTGGTCAAATTAAACCACTTTCTCGGAGCTGCAGGGTTCTATGTGATAAATTCACTCATTATGTTGTTTCACTCAGCTCTCGCATCCATTATTCAGCTGCTAGCATGCTGTATTTAGTCATAGGAAAGCTTTTCACAGAGCATTCTCAAATGCCCAGTCCTGTTTGTTTCCTCATTCTAATCAGAGGGTCCTACAGCTTTGGACAGTATCGTCATCATTTATTACAACGAACAGCTGTCAGGTCTCATTAGTTCCATCAGTGGTGATGCAGTGAAGTTAATTTGTGTACCTTGGTGCCAGCAACAGCTGTGAGGCATTATGTTTTAAGGGCTATGTGTCTCAAACAGTCACTACTACTTTCGTAATCTGATTTACACATCTGGATTTAAATAATGAAGGTACTGTACACAATACAACTGTAGGGGGATGTTTGAACCCCCAGATTCCGGGCAAATACTTTGGATTTAGCTGAATTCATGTAAAAGTGGACTAGATTTTCTCTCAGTTACTGAGGAGTCACAGGGGTTTGATGAAGGTTTGGGACACTGGACTCACTTTGGCAAGATTTGTGGTCTGTGTCCACATTTTTGGCACTAAGTCGAACTCATTTGCAGTTTGTGGTGGACTCCACCAGGGCTCCACTCTGTCACAATCCTGTTTGAGTTTCCCGGATCGGATCCCGGGATGTAGTCAGAGGGAAGAGGGTGTTCACCTTGGGAACCTGAGGCTGATATCTCTGCTCTCGGTGGGTCATGGTGCCCTGTTGGCTTCATTAAGACTCGGCCTTCAGTGTGCGCTTGACCAGGTCACAGCTGAGTGTGAAACGGCTGGGATGAAAGCCTACTCCTCAAGGCTCTCAACCAGAAAAGCAAGTAAATTAGCTGGCTAATTCCATGAGCTGCTGATAGAAAATGACTGTAATTGAGAAACCAGGCCATTAATTTTATAATAGGTGCTAAAACCGATCTTTGAAAGAGAGGGTGAAGATATTGGTCTTTATGAGGGTGATTGACAAAGGCATGCTGTAGACTTGGGTTAAAATTCATTAAACGGCTCCATTGAGGATCTGATGTCTTAGGTCTTTACTTTCTTTGTGAAAGGATTGTATAAAAGATCAGAGCCAGGTTTGATCAACTAAATGGATGAGATGGCAGTGGGATTAAAGCAACCCTTATCTGCAGGGTGCTCCTGATCTCCCAGCAGGGCCTCTTTTACACAGAAATATAGATGGAGCAATTAAGCATAACATCCTACAAATAATTTGGTTGCATGAACCAGATAGATTTGAAATATTCCGCTCATACCTGTATTCTCTTTGTGTGATGAAATTACAGCGCAGCAGGTTTGTTTGATCAAAGATTTGAGGAAAGTCAAATGAGGCATGTTCATTCAGATTAAATCCGGCCAGTCAAACAGCCTCCTCTTTACACATCCCAGAATTAAAAAAAAGGTTGGGCCATGTATCTACAGCAACACCGGTTCGACTCCAGTGTGTCAAATTCCCATTGATTGATGCAGAAATCTTCAATAGTAATAAAAAACACGAATACACTCGACGAACTTGAAGATCTGAGTTGTTTTTTTGTGTTCTGTGCAGAATATGGAGGCCTGGGGCTTGACTACAGCTACAGTGTTGCTGTGGCAGAGGAGCTTGGCAACATCAACTGTGGAGGCATCCCCATGGCCATCGGTGTCCAGAGTGACATGGCTACTCCAGCACTGGCCAGGTACGAGCATTCAAACTAGCATTAGGAAACTTAATGTCACTGTGGGCAGTATCGCCTTAAAGGTTTAACAATTAGCTGCTATAACACCATGTTTGTTCCAGTTGTGGAGCTCCTCCCCGTTCAGTTGCACGATCCTCTCATCAAAATGGCGGGCTCAAGCTGCTGCTCTGATTGGCTGTTTTCGTGCTTCTTTTAACTTCTAATAGAGCTGTCGTTTAAACTCAGACTTCCTTTGTTTGGAATTCGGGGTCTTTAAGTGTTTCCTCAATTGAAGCTTAAGCAGCCAGCAGGAGCTTGTTGATCCAGAGGCTTGCGTTTATTCACTGGCTTTCCAGTCTCACTCAGCATGTCTACACGGCCCAAAAAAATACAACTAACTTAATCAATTTAACCTAAAACTGACTTTTCAAATCTTTTTAAACACATAAAAACCAAGGTCGGCGCTATGAAAGTTCTTTATTCCTGTAAAAACATTGTGAAATCGTATAATGGTCGAGCTGAATCCCCAACAATGATGCTCGTATTCACAAAATTTTCTGTTTATCTGTCAAAAGTTTGAACACATCAGCAATTGGGACTGGAAAAGTACTCGGAATTTGAACAAATGAAGTATTTCCAGCCAGTTCTGGTGAATATTTGTGTCGGTTAACATGGCTGGTAAGATTCTGTCATCCATAAAACGACTTGGCTGGTGGTGGGATGTCCCGCTTAGAAGCTGCTGGTGACACAACACTGAGTCTCTGGAGCCTAATTAAGATGCGTCCTGTCCTTTTCTAACAAGCTTTAAGAACGATGGAAACTCTACTGAAGGAGAAGCGGTATCATGGGAGCTCCCGTCTCTGTCCCAGAGGAACCGGAACTGCCTCAAACAGGGCAGACTTGTAACTGTGTGCAGCAGTTACACAACACAGTTTACGGCTTTGACACAACTTCTTTGTGACTCCGGCGTGAAGTCATATTCAGATTAGGTGTGCAACTGTTTGGGCTATTATCTTGCTGTCATATTTCATATTAATATGTTTTTGTGTATTTCTTGTTGTGTGTCTGTTTTTGTACAGGTTTGGTTCGGATTACCTTAAGAAGGAGTTCCTCCTTCCCTCCATCATGGGAGACAAAGTGGCCTGTCTAGGAGTTAGTGAAGTTGGGGCTGGCTCCGATGTTTCAAGTATGCCTTTTCCTCGGCTTTCAAATCATCTGATTAATTTCATTTCGCAGTTATGCCCGATGTTGCTCAATACCAGGCCACTGCCCTGGGATTTCCAGCCTCCTTTTCAGGAAAAGCTAATGACACCAGGGTTAAAATCAAAATAAACAAGTAGAGGCCGTCAGTGAACACGTCAGTTCTGTGCACAGCTGTGCTTTGTGGGTGATGCTGCGCACACTGAAGGGTTTACCACTAAACCGACTAACTGCCCGGTGCCTGGTCTCCACAACCAGACCGGGAGGGGAGAAGGAAAGAAAGGCACATAAGAACTTAATTCAAATCATTTCCAGAGGTTTTTCAAAGTAAGTAAAGAGATCTGGAAAACACAACACAGCATCCAGCAGAGAGGAAATGAAGCACAGGTCCTAAAAATGTTAGTTTTCTGTACCAGGGGGGATTTTTATCAGTGTGACACACAAATGACCCTATTGACTTAATGTGTGGAAGCCTCAGCAGCTGCTTATTAACCTGAAACTCCTCCACAGTCAGAAAGCTAACTGAGGATCCCTTTTTTGTGCGAGAATTTTAATGTGGGAAAGAAAGGAAAGAGCTGCTGCTTCAGAGTTCGCTCATGGCCTGAGCTCTATTCAGATCCAAGATTTGACCTATTTATTTGTATTCACTTTGTGTAAACCACAGTGCGTTGGTTTCAGGGCCAAAGCTCTGTTTGTTGTTTTAATAATCTATTTATAGGTTTTATATAAATGTTTGCCCTCGCTTTCATCTTTGCAATTTCCCGCAACTCTGTGAACAAGGTATCCTGACCAAGGCAGTCAAGAAGGGGGATGAATACGTGGTGAACGGAGGGAAGATGTGGACCACCAACGGCACCCAGGCCGACTGGATGTGTCTGCTGGCCAACACCAGCGACGGCCCCCCCCACAGGAACAAGTCTCTCTTCTGTTTGCCCATGAACCTGCCAGGTACACTCACACATCCACAGACTTTAGGACTGACGTGGATAAAAAAAAAAAACAGCCTTCAGATGTTCTCAGGATGTTCTGAAACAGTTTCCAGTGCGCAGAGAAGTTCTGTTTTCTCCCCCCTCTTACGTAGGAGTGCACATCGCCCGAAAGATTGATAAAATGGGCATGTGGTCATCGGACACAGCCGAGGTGTTCTTCGACGACGTCCGCGTGCCGTGCGAGAACGTCATCGGCCAGGAAGGCATGGGCTTCACTTATCAGATGCTGCAGTTCCAGGAAGAGAGGCTGTGGGCGGTGGCCAACAGTGAGTGAGCCGTCCTGGAGAAGTTCGTCTCCCACCTCCCCTGGAAACGGGCCATTTCGTTCTGCATTTTCTTCTGCTTTTTTCCCTCCTCTGAACCCCATCCTCCCGTTTTTTTGCTGTTTCCGGAATGTCCCGAAAGTTCAAGTGAAATGACATGAGCCAATAATTAGCTCTGTTTACATTGGATTTGAAGTTAGACGCATGACTCAGAGTAATAATCTGTTCAAAGGTAAAGTAAGCTAAGCTCCTTTTATTAAATCAGATGCTTGCTTAAACAGACTATTCCACAAATTGCTCAATCCAAAGCTAAGTGTTAGCAGCAGGTAGATAGCTAGGAATTCATTGAGGATGTAGGAAATAAAGTCAAAATCTTTGTTTTTCGGCGACATTCTTGCACTCTTTCAGTGGTGACCACAATGGACAACATCATTCAGGAGACCATAAAGTACACACGGCAGAGGAAGATCTTCAAGCAGCCCGTCCTTTACCACCAGACCGTTCACTTCAGGCTGGCCGAGCTTCAGACGGAGGTGGAGCTGCTCCGCTCCCTCCTCTACCACGCCACAGGTAAGGTGAAAGAAACAAGGAGATTCATGTCCGCTTGGCTGCATAAACTACAGCTGAATGGCTTTTTCCTCCCACCATTTTGTCAGTGCATTGCAACACTGGTAGCTAGCACTGGCAAAAACAATGTCAGGGCTCTTTTTGTAAAGCAGCAACAGCACATGAGATTAGTGTATGTTTCTCTTAAAAAAAAACAACAAAATAAGTAATAAATAATATTTAGACTGTCTTCTACTCACATGAATCCTTTCCTTTTTTTCTACTTTTAATCATTTTACCTGCAGCACTGTACATCAAAGGCAATGATGTCACCAAGCTGGCATCCATGGCCAAACTAAAGGGGGGCCGTCTGGCTAGAGAACTGAGCGACAGCTGCCTTCAGTTCTGGGGAGGCATGGGCTTCACCAGTGCCATGCCGGTCAGCAGATTCTACAGGTAAAACTAAACTCCCGCTTTAAAAGCACCTCTCCTGTTTTATCACACCTGAATATCCAGCATTGGAGCAGTTTATGTGGACAACCGGGCACCCGCACATCGTCTGCATGGGGAAATAAATGATGTGGATATTGTACAATGTGGGAATGTCTATTTGTAAATGTAGCTTGTGGCTTCTGGTTTCCCATTTTGCACCATTGAATTCTGCTTGTTTAATTGCAAACACATCTAATGGGACCACAAACCCGTAACAGCAACAGTCACTGGTAAGCCATGTCACACGGCTGAGTAGATGAGGAGTTTCTATCACCAGACTCTAAAAAGGGTTTGGTTTGTAATGCATTAATGTCATTCAACATAATAGCTTCAGACCGTTTCAAAGCTCAGAACTTAACACTATGCAGACATTTATGGACAATAATAAAATAATCAGATGAAGCTTGCTAACATTTTGACGTTTGGCTCTTTTTTTTTGGTAGAGATTCCAGGTTAATGTCGATTGGTGGGGGAGCTGACGAGGTGATGCTGGGAATCATCTGCAAGTACATGGACACAGTACCCAGGAAGTGAAAGAAGCCACACTCGGGACCGGTGTGTCGGCTTTGCCAATATGCCAATTTAGAATAAAAAAACCTCACAAGTGCAATTCTGACATGTTAACTCCTTAACATGTTGAGCAGAGTGTGTGATATGTGTTGTCATAAAACATATCACTAGCACTCTGAAATATAGCTTTCTTTTTTGTAGAAAAATTGTAAAAAAATGGTATCTTAAATACTTTTTCTTTTTAGAAATAAAATATGCAATTGTCTGTATTCTTTGCCAGTTATTAATTTATAAGTCCATATCAAACACGTTAGAATTAAACATAAAATTTATTTACATTAACATGTTTACAAAGTTGAAACAATAAAGAGTACAAGGCTATTGTAAATGTGGATGTCTGTTCTAATATATCCATTCGTTCCTGAACAAAACACTGGATTATGCGTTCATAGTATTAGTCAAATCACATTTAAACAGCATGTGCTGAATCTTAGCTATTCCATAGCCTTTCATCATTCATACATTTGGGTTTGGGACACAGTGGTATTTAACACTGCTATAAGAAATTAAATTCTATATTTTTTTTCAATTCAGGAAGATTAGTCATATATTAAGCATGTGCAAATAGTCTGGGTCAGATACACAGAGTATAAAGTACGCTTGTAAATGATCCTTGACGACATTTCCCACTTAAATAAACCCCTTTAATGTCTCCTGATTGCATCAAACGCAATCCGTAGTTTAGCAGTCCGTTCACAACTTGATTTGAGTCATTGTTTGAAATTCTCTCACTAGTTCACACGGGGTCTGACTCATTTCACCATTCTGCTGACCTAGTTCAGAGATGCATCCAACTGGACGTGACGCCGTGGCACTAGGGGGCTAAGTCCAACTGGGAGCTCTTTTCACCTCAACTTGATGAACCAGTACAAGACAAAGAAGACAAAAAGGCAGAAGAGCAGCATGTAGCACAGCAGCTTGGTCTGACTGCCTCTGGACAGCTGTTTGACCCTGCCGATGGTGGCCCCCAGCAGTCCCCCTGTCGAGTCAAAGTCTGTGTCCTGTGGCAAGGAAAAGAGAGTCCATTTAGACCCAAGAAGCAGAACACAGTACCTACAAACAAATCTAGGGGCAGATAAGTTTTCTTCATTTCATTAAATATTATTAGCCCATATTTCTTAGACAAACACTGCACCTCTTCCTGTGATGTTAATGTAATAGACTGGCAAAGAGAATAACGTGGTTGTCTTACTATAATACAGCCTTCAGCTTATTCTGTCAGGTCCCAAATGGTTGAAAAAGTCTTAATACTACTGCCCCATTTCGTTGATTTCTGAGCTTTGAAGAGGAAAAAAATAAACTCACCATTTCATCTAGCATTTTATTCTGATATTTGACTTCTGTTCCAATGTCAATGGACAGCTGCAAATGGAAAGAACCAGTTAATATTTTGTCATAAGATAGACACGGTTATTTCATTCCACCTGATACAGCCAAAGTCTTACACTTTTCAGAGCCTCCACTTTTGCTCTCAGCCCCTCTTGTAGGTGCTCATTTTTTTCTTCGTATACGCTGTATCCGCTTGCCACATAATTACCTGAGCCTCCTTCACCTGTTTGAAAACACACATCTCTATCACCAGTCTTGTCTTCGCTTTTTATTCCCGATACGTGTGGTCGAGACAAAATATCTGTGTAAACCTGGAACGTTTCTTTCGACGTCAACAGCTAGCAAGTTAGCTAGCAAGGAAGCTAAATACAAACAGAATAACAGATTTAAGCTATTTTCTTACCCAGTCCAGCGCGCCTCATCTCGACTCGTTAAAGCTAAAGCGGTTTACTTTATAAAAAGTAATTCACTAAAAGGGAAATAAATGTAAGTATTGACTGAAAAGGTTGGGAGTTACTGTTAGCAGCTACCGGGCAAACGTAACAAGTCGGTTCGTGTAAGGAAACGCCACGACACCCTACGGTGGCCGAGGTGGACATTTGTTTGCTGTTACACGTGACCGACGGTAATGTCATAAAGATAAATAGCCGACATCAGGTAGCAATTTCAAAGTGTGGTGCAATTAAGTTACATCCATACTTGTCAGTTTATCTCGTTTTAAATCAGTCCATCATATAAGGGTGTAGTCCTCTATTGGGTTGTGAAAATGAAATTATTTTTGGACATTATTTTGGACATAGGTATATTCCATTTATCTGTTCAAGTTTGGCCATAAACAGGTGGGACCTTAAAGTATGTACGGTGTAAAATGCACATATCTAGAATAGGAAAAAAGTCCAGACTGACTGACACTCTTTATTAGTCATGCGTGAGAACAGCTTATGAGACTACCTTTATAGAAGTCGCTTTTAAAATAAACTCCACTGCCTCATTAGAGACATTATTAAGTGTTTGATTTTTTTTCTTAGTTTTTTTGCTAATGACAGTGAGAGTTTGCTGGTTGAGTTTCTTCCCACATCAAGATCAGCTGATGGGTGAAAGTTAGCTGTGATGGACTGACAACCTGTGAGACTCAGGCTACAAACTGGACAGGTTGTCCCTCCAAATGTATCCCTTCAAAAACAGATGGATGAATTCCCATTGAATGTCTTTGTAGAAATCTTTGGCAGAAGCAAAAGTGGTTAAATGTATGCAAACAGCAACGCTGTTCCAGCAGCATCCCTGGTTAAGTCGATGTAAACCTTTAATATGACAATGTGAGCATTGTTTGTGTCTCATCTACAGTTCACAGTCAAGTGTGTCAAACTGAAAATCTTTAGTAGGAGGCATCAGGACTTCATCATCTTGTGGAACATCAGTGAAAACTGTATTACCCAGTTAGTTACCCCACATTACTATAAACTATTTAACTGTCTGACAAAAAAATAGGTTTCTAACAATTTGATTCTTTAGTTCAAAAGGATAGAAAATGAACATATGTTAGTCTACGATAAAACATTTCTTTCAAATATGAGATGTATTAGTGCCAAGGTGATTTTTTAAAAGAAAAACTATTTGATTAAGAAGAAAACAATTCCTTTTCGTTACAATTTGCTTAATCTTTAAAACTAAATGTACCAAACTTTCACATCACTGTGAGGTTTTGCCCCTCAGAAACGGGATATATGATTCTAAGGACAAGATTGCCATGATTATCATTTTGACTCTGACAGATTGTTTCCTTTGAGCACTTTGAAATGCGATCATGGCAGAATAGAGACAAATATTCTTTGCGGGTTCAACATGAGGACAAACTGAAGCATCCATCTGTGTTGAATGAAAGAGTTTTTCAATACTTTCAAAATCCTGGAGGTGCCGTTTAGCAGCGATTAGCTTTCCTTATCCCCTCATACATCATCCCTCACCTAGCATTGTGCCAATATTGCAAGAGGCAGCAAATCTGATTTGAGAAATTAAAATGACTTTCATGGCATTAACTTATTTCTGTCCAATATCTCATGAATAAATACAAATTTAAACTGTTACCTACTATGATGCATTTCAGTGCCAGAGCTCTTCACACATCCGAAAATGGGTCCTCCATTTGCTCCACCTTAACATCAGTGTCACAGAAGAGAGGAGATGGATTGAAATGTGTTTGCATATTTCAGCTGTCTTTTCTTTAGCTGTCAGGATTGGATTTGTCAAGAGGGTCTTTAAAGAGGGAAAAAGGCACGTGGAATTACATTTTGCTCTTTTGAAAGTTGGCGTTCGTCCTCACTGGCAATATCTTCAATCCGCTGATATATACTTATCATGATCAAATGCTGTTTGATTTATCTGCTCCTGATTTGAATCTGGTGTGTAGAGAGTCAGCAGGTTATTTAGCTCTGTAAGAAACACACACATAACTCATAACTTAAAGAAATGAGATTATCAGGAGTGAACTTTTATGAAAAATATCACATCAAATGATTCTGAGGCGCTCGTTCTCAGGCAGAGAGATCTGACCTCTCTGATATTCTTGTTGTGGCCTCATCAGTGCTCCAAGCCTGTCCATTTTATCTGCCAGTGATCTCACATTTCCTGTGACAGTCAGTGGAGATAGCTCTTCAGAGTCCCTCCTCCTTCGTCTCTATTTTCTTGTCGCTCTGTGAGTTCAGCATCTGCTCTTCGGCTTATACAGGGTCTTTTTCCAGGTGTTAAGTGGGTTTTCTCCCAGATACACAACTTTTATGTTGTCATGGTTATGTGTTATTACAGAGTAAAATATCATAATAATAGTGATATTCAGTAATAGCAAGCAGGAAAGACAAAACATGTCAGATATATTTTCTTTTCATGCTTTTTTACACTTAAAAATAATTTTTAAAATATATTTTTGACAAATGTCTTTGAAAATGTGTTTGCTTGCTGGAGAAGATCCACTAGGTGTCTACTTTTTTTGCCATGTCGGAGAACTAACCAGCCCAATTATTCTCAAGTCTTGTATGACTTTAATAAATCTGTGGAGTTTGGGTTTAATTTGGGGAGACAGGATCATAATTAGCTGAAACTGAGGATGGCTCCGTTACACCTGTGCTGAACCTCTGCTGATACTTAACAACAGCTCTCTCACCCTGATTAGCACCATTTCCCCAGAGAGCAGCACAAATGAGTCTGATGACAGAGGAGGAGAACTGCAGAGGAAAACATGGCACGGGAAAGATCAAAAGGATGCTAATGTGTTCCTGCTGATAGCCTCATGGGAGAGAATTCTGACACCCAGTAATGAGAATTTGAAAACCGGCTAAAGAGACTCTGCTGACCCATTACGCTGCCTCGCTGTTTTCTAGTTTGTCAGGTAGACTGAATACTTTCTTTTAAAGAACCCTAAAAATACTTTTAATGAGATGTGAATGAAAATGTCAAGAAGGAGAATGAAACAGAAAATGAAACCATATTAATCACATAGATGTGTTCTATGTGATTATCATTGTAAATGATAAGGATGAATATATAAGTATAAGAGATGCACCTAGAGCATGGGCTTGTTTTTCTATATTCATGTTTAAAATCGTGTGGCCTGCATTCATTGTCTCATCATGCTATTATCACACTGTTTCTTCTGAGTTTGCCATCTCATTGCCTTTTAACAGAATGAGAAACGGAAAGAGAAACCATGCACGGTCTCAAAGTCACCCCACTAAAAGCTTACAATTCCCTCCAGGGGATCCCCGTCTTTCCTAATGAACGACACTATTACTCAAACCAAAGTAAGCTGTCAACCTTTGTGCCCTTTCAAATGATACACTCCTCTACGGTGGGAGGGCCGCTCACGTGTGACTCCGTTTCCTTATCTGTAACACAGTGACCCCTGCTAGACTGAGAGGGATGCAGAAAAAATCCCAGGATGAGTTTCTTTTTGTCTTGTTGAAATGAAGCCTTGATTGACAATAGAAGTGATTGCCTACACAAGAGTGAATCAAGTCTATTTATAGTGGAATTGCTGCGTTTACTCACCTCAACGCTGCAAACCCCATGCTTTAGCCAGACTGTGAAAAAGGAATATTTAGTTCCCTTTACCAATGTTTTTTTTATCAGCAAATAATTCAATTTATGTAGCTCTGTGAATGCACGTGTGTACTTGTGAGTGATGAAAGTTCAGAATTGGTCGACAACCCGAATTATGTTTTCCCTTTGACTTTTCCCCTTTCGAAACCTTTCGTTGAACCCATTCTCTGAAGCCTGCAGTGGGGCGGAATTCTTTAAAAAAAAAGCTATTGTATTGTAATGAACGTGTTATTAAGCCCAGCAGTAGGGCAGCCTGTCCCCTTCTGCTTCTGCACAGACAGAACAGGAAACAGGCCGGACTGAGAGGTTTATGGGGACGCAGTGGCCCTGAATATCCCCCCCCAATGCCAAACAAGTGTTTTTGTGTTTGTGCGCGTGTGTGTGTGTGTGCAACACAATGAATGCATTGACCTGAAACAAATTATAAAATGTCAAATAATCCTTAGAGGTTATAACTGTTATTAAAAAATAAGATTAACACACAAATTTGCAATTTTTCCTCCAGGAGCATAGTATTTAAAACATATTTAATTATTCTGTTTTCAGAAAGAAAGTTAGGCTGTACTGTGCGACACCATTAGACTATATAAGGGGGCAGAAATGTACTCTGCCAACGTGTTCTAGACCTCTGCGTCCACAAACCATTTCTCCTCAGCTCTACCGCACTTCAGCCCTCATGAATCATCGGACCGTGTGAGTCATCAGCGGCACTTGTTGAAACAAAGATGCTCTGCTGAACGCATTATCCTCCTCGCAAGCCAGAGAGATGCTGCTGGTTGTTTACCTGCTGCTTTTAACGGTGAAAGTGAAGCTGCACCCGATGGAAACGATCAAACATTCAAGAGGGAAATTGCTTCTTACAATGCATTATTCAATCTGGTCATGACTCCTGAGGAGATGAGGTGAAAAGAGTCACCATATGAGTAAATTCTTTCCACAAGTTACTCAAAGTACTTATTTAAATTGCCAAATAAACGCAGCAATATGTACAGAGACAGTGCTCAAAATGTCCGAATTATGGCAGCTTTTCAACTCCATGGGCTTTTTGTCTTGTTCAATACAAAATTGCAGCGTTTGACAGTATTATGTTTTGATAGAGTGATGGTATGATAGGCGATTAAAGAATCCTGAAGAAGTACTTGCTAGGATGTTGGCATTTTATCAGTAGATATTCATTGAAATAAAATCATGAATCAAGTGAATTTAAATGCTATGGTGAAGAGCACAATGCTGCAAGGTAGTGGCGTGTTTATCTATTGTATGAAACAAGAAAAACTAACATTTCATGCATGTCCATGTATAGAGGTATTTACTTATATATGGACAACAT